CAATTTTTACGTTCAGTAGATAAACGTAATCTTTTCCTATCAAAAATTTCTGAAGTTGTACCAAAGGTTTTACCCAGTTTATTTTCAAAACACAAAAGGCAATGCAAAAACTCTTCGACGGCACGGAATCGTCAAAACAATTATTGAGTTAAGAATAAATATTATTTTATTCCCGGGATGTTGTCGAAGCGCCGGCCGGGGGTTGGCGGGGCAGTTCTCAGTGTTGCCATGCCATAGAATATGTAGTTGCGATTGCATGAATTGATCCGAAATAATACATTTTCTGTTTTTTTATGTTTAACAAGAATATACGTGTTTAACAAAAAAATTATATTGGTAAAAAATGTTAGTATTTTAACATAGAAATGTGAGAAGTATTTTATATTCCAATCTTTTTTTTTTGAGAGGCGAGATAATTTTTAGAATTACTTTTTTCTATAAAAAATTACTTTTCATTCTTCTGTGATTCATCATCTATCATCCCACCAAATTTCATTGATTTTGATCCAATACTTTAGACGTAAATCAAAAAATAGTTTAACCCGTCGCACAGAGGTACCCAGGCCTCTTAAGAAGTGATTTTATGTGTTTTTTTTTTTTAAAGTCGTGTGCTATCCAACTTGAAATCACAAGGTTAAAGTCTAGTTTTTTTCATCACTCAATAAAATTCAACTAAATACTTTCTAATTTTAAATATCTTTTGAAAAAAAAAATTAGTAAATTCAAAAAACTAGGCACCGTTGAAAAGAGAATTCGATGACCTTTCAAATGAGGTATCGCTAGACCCCTACTGCCATTTAAGATTTAAGGGTTGGAGTTTACCCCCGCGAGAGGGTTGAAGTGACAACATTGAAAATATGTGCAAAAGATTTCCCCCTCCGAATAAAAATGGACGGGTCCGAGCGATTTTTTTCAATGAACGATGAATACGAGATATCGACCGTGTTTCGTTATCGCTGGCCCACCCTGTATTTTTATGCGTGCGAAGGACACTTTCAGGAGATTTTTTTATAACATGAAAAATTCTCGGGGGGGGGGCACTTGCCCCCGGTGCTCTCCCCCTGGATCCGCCACTGAGCGCGGTGTGGACTGTAAATTTTACTTTGGGGTGCAACCTTCAAATAATGAAAAAAAAAGGACTTACCCAGTGATTTCGCAAGTGCCACTCCTGCAGGGTCCTACTGCTCCATACGCGCACTACGGATTATGCTATTTTTCAATAAGGGGTTACGGAAATTGGTTGATGCGAGACAAACCTCACAATGAGGCTTAATACCAAGTGTATAATTGCGACCACCATCAAAATCTAGAGGTTCCATTATTTACGCGGAACCAAAAAATGCGATCAAACTTTTTATACAGGGTGGAATTTTTAAATGGAATAAATTCAGTACCAAAGAGCCTGTTTATTTTCTGGAAAAATAAAAAAAACGGGTCCCTTTATTTTTATTTTGGCACATTTTTTCGGCATTTTCATGGAATTTACCCCTCTCTTAAGGGTAGAAACCACCCCTAACTTTTTTTTTTTCAAATGTAAAGATATGTACAGGGTGTCCCATTTAAGATGGTATTGGGGGTTATCTGCTAAACTCGTAGAGGTAGATTTTTTTTGATTTCACATTCCTGGGCCAATTTTTTATGACGAATCGAATGCCGCAAACCGCAAGTCTCTATCTTGTACCGTTTCGAAGATACAGGGTGAAACTTGAAATTTTCACTTTTCTAGGGTAGTCATTATCTCGCGTAAGAAAAAAGATATCAGAAAGATTTAAATTGTATCTGATGCAGTTTTTTACGTAGATTCCATTGGCGTACTGCAATTTTTTTTCCGGTGTACCATTTAGGAGATATGACACAAACTTCATCTTTTTTAAATGGGACACCCCTGTAAATTTTTAGAATATGCATAAAATTACCTTTCCAATGATATATAGTTTGTCTATATTCTGTTGTAATTTGCTAATATTATTATGGTATTTAAAACTTTCCATGAGAAATAAGTCTTGCAAATCACATTGAATATTATTTGGTTTTATTTTTTGGTAGCAGAACTCGCTGGTAACGAAACTCGTCGGGTCGGTGATCAGTTAGTGGCAACCCGACATGAAGCGTCGCTTGGCGATTAGTTTCTAGTTTATATTATGAAGAAGCATGCAAAATGGCGGAAACTGGAGAACAATCCTCCAATTTGAGGCTAGTTCAAATCCTATATGCATATTATTTTATTATTTAATGTAGTGGTAAACCTAATACCAGTGGCGGCTCGTGGTATAACATATTGGGGGTGCACATAATTTGTAATTCATAATAAATGCCGAAAGGGGGATGCCCGCCGGAGGCGCGAAATTTTTCGGGGTGCCACGCCCAGCGAAGTGTTTATTTTAGGCCTTTAAAAAAATAATTTATTGTAAGTGATCGTATGAGTTATGTGATGTGTTTACCTACCAATAATTAAAAATATTGTTAAGGGATTTCATATCAACCCTACCAAACAACCAACTAAGCTCAATTTAATACTTTTTTCGGTCTATCAAATCGTGGAAATTGAAGGATCTTATATCAATAAACTAGAAATTAAGTAACAAAGTAACTTACCTCGCTGAGTACATCGTCCTGGTCTAACAATTGTTTTTATACATAAATGTATTATAGTTTTCAATCTCACAATTCTCACAGACACGTTTTGTATTGAAAGATAAGAGTAAGATGTGATTTTGAGTTTTGATGTTTTTTAATTTTTTCGGATAAATGTACTAAATCTTTAACGCCGGATTTTGTCCATTCTGATGCTTCATCGCTTCCAAATAACAAACAGGGAAAACAGTAAAGACTATTACTAACATCACAACCGCACAACCAGTCAGTTTTTTCGTAAGTTTCCATTTTAAAAGTTCGTTTATAATCACGACTTTTGCATTTTGTTATGTTGGTGATTATTAAATTTGGCTTTGGACGGCCGACACATTTGATTTGGATTTTTTCCTCCAAAGAAAGCGAAGAAAATTTAATTGTTTTTAAATATTGCACGCTAAGGCTATCGGGGTTCAGAAATCCCGCCATTCTACACACAGTTTTCAGTTAAATCGCGCTCGAAATCGAAATAAATATAAAACAACCGCTTCCGATCCCAAAGTGCACTGACTACATGTGCACACCAGCCAGCTTAAAACATCGAACGTCGCTAGACCTTCGCGGGGAACAAAGAGTGCGGGGGGGCATAGTTCCACCAATTGGATTTAATATTGAAATGTGCAGTGAACGGGGCGATCAGGCGACGCGGTGGACGCTGTGATTCCAGCGTTGCCGGTTGCGTTTGTTTTGCTGGCGCATTTGGCCACTAATTTTTTAAATTAATACTTTACAGGTAGAATGTTAAAATTTGAAGAATGATAAAATTAAATTTAAAGTTGTTTGATATTAATTTGGGAGTGCACGTGCACATGTGCTCTTATGGAGGAACCGCCAATACCTCATTTTCTTGTGCCGATTTTTTTTTTAATTATAAGTGATAATATCTTCATGACTTAATTGAATCATTATTCAGTGAATATTTTTTGCCAGGATAATAACAATATCTTAATCATAATAATAAAATAATAATTTGTTGCGTTTAAAAGCTACCATAATTGAGAAGCGACTTCATTTTTCAGTAGCGTCGTGTGCGATCCAAATTCAAATTCCATAGTTGGTAACTATTTAGTTGGTGATTTATGTTGCCAAGTGGTTTGGTTTCTTTTAAGTTGCTTAAAATGTGCGGAGGGCCTTATCAGTAAATTTATCTTAAGATGAATATTCCAGGCCTAATAAATTAAGTTTCCGACGATTTTCAAGATTTTTAATTATCGCTTTTATGATATCTGTTGTACTGGATAATCCAAAATAACATCAGATTTTCCTTGCAATCAGAAACTATTTTTTTCTTGACGTTAAAGCAGAGGCGTAACTATAAAGTGTAATACCTATAACGTTAAAATGGGAAAAATATAAGATTAAAGGCCGGTTTATCCTTCTGATAAACTCTCACGTATGGTAGGTATGCAGTCTGACGGATAAAAACGCAATCTGTAATCCCATTGATCCGCCAACCAATAGGATTAAAGATCGGTGCATATATCTTGCAGATAGTTACCAGCAAGTTTATCGGAAGATGAATAAACCAGGCCTTAGGGTCAAATTATGGACCGACTGGTAACGTTATTGGCACCTATGTTCTGCTGGTGAAGCTAAAAATTACATACAATTTTTAGTCTTACCAGCAGGGTAAATTTGCCAGAGACGTTACCAGTAGGTCCATAATTTGGCTTTTATTCAGATAAAGTTGCTGGTAATTATCTGCAATGTGAATTTACCGTTTTATAAATCTATTGGTCGGCGGATAACTGGCCGACCAATGGGAATACATATTGGGTTTTTATCCATCAGATTGCATACCATACCTGACAGTTTATCAGAAGGATAAACCTGTTATTTTGGATTATTTGGTACAGCAGATTTCATAAAAGAAATAACTAAAAATCTTACTAATGCTCGGAAACTGAATTTAAGAGTCCAAAGCCAGTTTATTCATCTTTAGATAAACTTACTGGTAAGGCCCTCCGTACACTGGAAACTAATCGCCAAGCGACGCTGCAAGTCGGGTTGCGACTAACTGAGCACCGACCCGAAGAATTTCGTTACCAGCGAGTTGTGTTGTGTGCGGATGCTCAATGAAATACCCTAGCGGCAACTAATAAGCAACTGATTGATGATTCAAGTTTCTAGAATGTTTCTTTCCAGTTGCCTAATGTACGGAAGGCCAATGCATTGCCTGGCAGTTTATCAGAAGAATAAACTGGGCGTTAGACTATTAAACTCACTTACCGAGCATTAGTGAAATATTTGATTATTTCCATGATATTTGCTGTAGGTGGGTACCGGTTAGTCCCAAATGGCATCAATGTTCTTTACAATCAGAAACTATTTCTTCTTGAAGTTAATGCAGAGGTATAACTTAAAAGTGTAATACCTATATCGTTAAAATGGAAAAAAATACATCATTTAATAAACTATCATTTTACAGGATAGCAAAAAATTATAAGTTTTTCACACCAAAAAATAAAACCAATTATTCAATGTGATTTGCAAGACTTATTTCTTATGGAAAGTTTTAAATACCATAATAATATTAGCAAATTACAACATATTATAGACAAACTATATATCATTGGAAAGGTAATTTTATGCATATTCTAAAAATTTAAAAATTTACAGGGTGTCCCATTTAAAAAAGATGAAGTTTGTGTCATATCTCTTAAACGGTACCTCGGAAAAAAAATTGCAGTACGCCAATGGAATCTACGTAAAAAACTGCATCAGATACAATTTGAATCTTTCTGATATCTTTTTTCTTACGCGAGATAATGACTACCCTAGAAAAGTGAACATTTCAAGTTTCACCCTGTATCTTCGAAACGGTACAAGATAGAGACTTGCGGTTTGCGGCATTCGATTCGTCATAAAAAATTGGCCCAGGAATGTGAAATCAAAAAAAAACTACCTCTACGAGTTTAGCAGATAACCGCCAATACCATCTTAAATGGGACACCCTGTACTACATATTGTGATAGCTCGTTAGAATGGGCATAAATAATTACATAACGTTTCAAATGGTGTTTGTTTCGCATTAGGGTTCTACCAAGAAGATATGCTGAAGATATTCAACAATTTTAACTGTAAAAAAAATGTGTGGAAAAATATGTTTTTATTTTTTTCTCGCTTTCTAGATCACCGAAAGGCAAAAGTAAATAATGGGTCATATCCATTTTTTTATGCCCATTCTAACGAGCTATCACAATACATATCTTTACATTTGAAAAAAACAAGTTGGGGGTGGTTTCTACCCTTAAGAGAGGGGTAAATTTCATGAAAAGACCGAAAAAATGTGCCAAACTAAAAATAAAGAGACCCGTTTTTTTTCATTTTTCCAAAAAATAAACAGGCTTTCTAATACTGAATTTATTCTATTTAAAAATTCCACCCTGTATATAAGAATTTGCATATAAAAAATGTAAAATAAAGACGAAACAATCTAAGGACGAAACAATTCTTTTGTTGATAATTTCACCCACATTGAATTTTATGATTATTTTTAAATATAAATACATATTCCCCTAACAGACTCCTATTTATTTTTTATTTTCAGGCAGATGTAAAATATAGATATAGTTTCTCAATAAAATTTCAAATTTAAACTTTTTTAAATATCTAATAAAAATTTTTAACAATTTTTTTTAGTTTGTTCGACAATAGGTAAAATATAACAAGTTCTTTAAAAAAAATATTTCATATTCTTGAAACATAAAGTTATTATAAATCTTTAACACTATATGGAAAACCTATAACTGTAGGTAGGTACATTCTTAATGATGCATGCATTACATATCATCGGCATCCTGACAATGGGTCAAAGTCGGTAATTTCTCTGTTTTCCAATTTCTTTATATTAGCAGTTTTGATTTCCATCTTCTTTATTGGAGCAACTAAAAAAAAAATATTTTTTGTACATGTTTCATGATTTGATTGTATTTGAAAGAGAGAAAGACTTATTCATAGTCAATCGCCAGCGAGTCGCCGTGTGCTGGGCCAAATACGGCGACTGGCTGGCGATTGACTATGAATACGGCTGTTAATCAAGCATCGACTCATTATTTATTTATCTATACATATTTTAAATACAGAATTATCACCTTTTCAATATGCATATGTAATGTATAAGTGTTATCTAATAATAAGGCTTGAACATAAAAACTCTTACCTTTATTAAAAGCAGTTGTACTACTTTGACTAGTTTTGGCTCCAAATAGATCATCATCATCAGTACTATCTCCAGAATCAAATAGGTTTGTGTTGTTTTTGGATTTCCCAGCCACTTTTTTATTATCTGTTTTGGATGTCGCTCCAAAAAGTTCACTGTCGCTCTCAGAATCTGATTCTAAGAAAATATTCTTTTTTGGCAGTTTTTTTTCCGACGTTGTTTTTTTGGCATCAGAAGGAGAAAATAGGTCTTTGCTATCTCTGGCAAATAAATTTTCAGTTTTTGTAGTTGTCGTTACTGATGCAGAGAATACATTTTCAACTGTAGAAGAAAGGTCTTTATTTTCTATTGCCACTGAGGCCGAAACTTTCTCAAACTTGGGAGAACTAAATAGCTCATCTTGATTATCTTGCAGTTTTTTGGCTGTCATAGAAGACGTTTCAGTTTTATTGAAGAATAAGTCTTCATCACTTGGAAAATCTTCTTCATCAAATATGCCGGGTAATTTCTTATTAGATTTGAAAATGTCAGGAAAAATATCTTTAGGGCTTTCTAATTTTGAACCATCGGTCTTTGGTTCCTCAACTTTAGGTTTAGTTTCATCTTTTTTCAAGCTACTGTTAAATATATCATTTTTTTCATAAAAATCATCAAACAAAGACGTTGCTGCTGGCCTTGATACTGACCCAAAAAGATCATCTTTAGAAATATCGAATAAATCCTTTTTGTTATCTTGTTTATCGAATACTAATGATATACCTGTTGGTGGTTTAACTGAGCTACTCCTGTTTTCATTTTTTGTATCACTATCAACATATGTTGGTTTTGATGGCTTATTTGAACTCAAAGTGTCATTTTCATCTGTTTTGGGCTTTTCAATAAATTCCGAGGGCGTTGATCCTCTACAAGAATTATCCAAATCTGCATTTTTATTATAAGTATCGTTAGGTTGTTGTGCTGCTTCCAATTTGGGTGATAATGATTTGTTAGACAAAATTGGCTCTGGGATACTATAAAAGTCTTCCATTGATTTCTTAGCCCATTCTTGACGAGCTTTACGCGTCGACGGCCGTCTTTTTACTTGGATTCGGGCTCTGTCCTGTTAAAATAAAGAATTGCTCAGTTTGAAAAGGAAAAAAAGTTCAATTTTTTAATAATCAATTTTAAACATTTTATTATATTTCTAGCCAGCATCAGTGCTGAGCAGTATCATAATATTTCGACAAGTATCAAATGGGGCTGTTGTTGTAGCGAGTGAAACTCACAAACACAAGGTGTCACTGAGGGATCAGACAGAAAAGGAAATAGGAGAGGTTTATATACTGTAGAGGTTTCTGCCAAAAAAAAACCAAAGCTAAAGATAGCAAATGTAAGCAATTCTGATGTTACTATGGAGGATGATGACGAGTGTATCATAGATGATATTATAAAATGGAATAATGTTGAAAAACAAAGTGATTTCCATATGAAAATATTGAAAAAATCGTTAAATAAATACAAAAATTTGGATCTAATTGTCGAATCAGATTCTAAAACGCATAATTTTTTAGTTAGGCAAGGTAGGGTCAAAATTGGGTGGTCCAGAGCGCCTGTCTTTAATCATGTAAGCATTTTTCAGTGCTATACAGGGTGTCAATTTGAAAACTTCCCACCCCTATTATCTCCAGTGGCGTAACTACCGAGGGGGCAGAGGGGGCCGTGGCCCCCGGGCCCAGAGGCTCTTGGGCCCCATCCGAGGTCCCATGCAAAAGTAATTTTACAGTCAAAATACATATTCGTACGATTCTTAGAATAATATCTTATAATTTTAATCAAAAAAATACGAAAATCATTAAAAATTTTGCTGATTGATTGATTCATTTGATCAATGGCAGCAAGGCAAGGTTTAGTGGCTCCCTGACACTGCAGCTAGTTAGCTTATTGTATCCCTTGCTGTGCGAATTTCTGCTAAAATAGGTTTGACACCTTCGCCCCCCCAGGTGCAGTAGCCTCTTTATTTCCGACTTCAGGGGACCCTCCTCCTGAACAGATTCCTCCTCCAAGAGGTGTCGGGTTTTTCAGTAGGCGAGGGCACTCGAATAAGATGTGGGAGGCTGATTCTTCGTCCTCGTCGCACAAACTACAAATGGGTTCATCTTGGTAGATTCCCATCTTGTGTAGGTGTTTTCTCCGTGTACAGTGACCGACCAGTTCCGTCACAATTCTGATCTGGCTCCTCGTGAGCTTTAGGATCTCAGAGGCTAATCTTATTGTAGGATAGCTTACCATTGCCTTACTGTGGTGTTGCCTCGGTATTTGATGCCAGTGGTTTTGGTGTTCTGCTCGGATCCACTTGTCCAAGCAGCCATGTGTCGAGTTTTTTGATATTCCGAATACGGGTTCAGGGCCCATTAACTGCCTTTCTGATCCTTGCCTGGCTAAGGAGTTCGCGTTTCCATTGCCAGCAACGCTCGTGTGCCTCGGCACCCGTGCAAGTTACCTTGTTATGACTGGCTAGGGTTTAAAGGAGTTGCAGGCAGTTCCACACTAATTTAGAGTTTATCTGTTGGCATGCTAGAGGTTGAATTGCTGCTTGGCTGTCTGAGGAGATCGTGATATCCTTATGCACATATCCCTTTCTCAGATTTTCCCACAGGCATGTCTCTATTATCCGTTCACAATCCGATGTCCACAGGTACAGGTAAAATTTATCACCTTTCAATGCTATTTGATAGGGAAAGGTGATAAATTTACCTCCACCTGTGGACATCGGATTGTGAACAGGATATATGCATGTATTTTGGCTTGGAATACGGTGGTGTGCTTCCCCAGTGGAGAAAACCATTTTGATCTTGGGGATAGGCCATATACTCCGGCACCGGTTCCACTGTCGGTTTTGGAACCATCAGTGTACCATACTAACTTTCTATTCTGGACTAGTGAGTTTTCTGTTTTTTTTTTATTATGCAGAGACAAGTCAGTCTTTGAAGTTTGGGTAGCTCCATTCTCCATTATTGCTTTACTCTGTTCCACTTTTAGCCACCAGACTATTGATCCGTAGGTTATTCTGGGTCTTACCACTACTGTATAGATCCAATATACTATGTGGGGTAGCAATCCCCATGTTTTTCCCACTGCTCTTTTGGTGGCCATAAGCGCCATTTTACTTTTGTTGGTGGCGTATTCAATATAGGCGTTCCAGGTTAGTTTTGCATCCAGGATAATTCCTAGGTATTTGACTTGCCGGACGAATTGTAATTGCTTTCTGAAGAAGGTGGGAGGGACTAGATCGTCCAGTTTTCTTCTTTTCGTGAAGGAAATTATAGCTGTTTTCTCAGGTTGACACTCTGGCTCGCCCCTTTGACCCAGTCTTTCACGATTTTGAGTGCTCTTTGCATTTTTGCAGAAGTAGTTTGTAGGTTTTTCCCCATGAATACGGTTAGTACATCATATGAGTAACCCTAGGTATAAATATTTGTGTTATTAAGGTCTACTAGGAGTTCGTCTACGACCAAGTCCCACAGTAGGAAGGATAAGACCTCACCCTGTGGGCTGCCTTTTGATACCGACATCTCCATTGTATCATTATTTAGAGTAGCCTGAACTGTCTTTCACGAAGCATTTGGAAGACCAGTTGAGGCTACTCTAATAATGATACAATGGAGATGTCGGTATTGCATGATTCTCAGAAATTTTGCTGACTTACCTATCTATTTACTACTCACATTCATTGGAAAATATAGGTATTCCGCAACAAGTAAAATCGCGATTGGTAGTGTTAGCTGTTAGCGTGGAAGATGGTAGGCGGTTTCCGCAAAAGAATTATTTCCGGGTTCTTATAAGTTAGGGCCAGTTTATTCACCTTCTGATAAACTGTCAGGTATGCAATCTGACGGATAGAAACGCAATCTGTAATCCCATTGGTCGGCCAGTTGGTCCATAATTTGGCCCTTAGACAAACAGAATATTGCATACACTACTGCAATATTGTAATTGGGCCTCGCCAAACCACTCTGCCCCCAGGTCCAAAATCTGAAGTTACGCCACTGATTATCTCGGAATAGAAATGTTTTCAAAAAAATCCCTGAAACGCGTCAACTATAATTTGAAGGGGGATGAGTTTTTATGCAAAATTCACCTCCACTCTTTCAACCCCCCAACCCCCAGAGCCACCCCCTAGAAAATCTTAAATGGGAAGGGCGATCAGGTGATACATCATTTTAGAGGGTTTTCAATTCAATACATTTTGGTACCAAATTTCAATACCTGAGTTCAACTGCTTTGGAAATATTGATAGTTGAAAAGTGACTTTTTTGCGACTTTAACCTGCTGTAAAACCTAAACGGTTAATTTTAAAGAAAAACCGGTCTCACATTCTCGTCTTAGATTTTTATAAACTATCATTTGACACCAATTTGAATTCAACCGGAGATTAAATTTTTAACCGGAATTTTTGATCATAAAAATTTAATCTCCGGTTGAATTCAAATTGGTGTCAAATGATAGTTTATAAAAATCTAAGACGAGAATGTAAGATCGGTTTTTCTCTAAAATTAACCGTTTAGGTTTTACAGCCTGTTAAAGTTACAAAAAAGACAATTTTCAACTGTCAATATTTCCAAAACAGTTGAACTCAGGTATTGAAACTTTCAGGTATTGAAACTTGGTACCAAAATGTATGGAATTAAAAACCCTGCAAAATGATGTATCACTTGACCCCTCTTCCCATTTAAGATTTTCTAGGGGGTGGCTCTGGGGGCTGGGGGGTTGAAAGAGGGAGGTTATTTTTGCATAAAAACTCATCCCCCTTCAAATTATAGTCGACGTGTTTCACGGATTTTTTCGAAAATTTTTCTACTCCGAGATAATAGGGGTGGGAAGTTTTCAAATTGACACCCTGTATAACCAATACGCCAAGGACTGCAAGAATGCTTCCAAAGTCTGCTCAAAATGTGCAAAAAACCATATGCATAATGAGTGCAAGGAAGTGGTGCTCAAGTGCATAAACGGTGTTAACAATCAAATAGCATTGAAAGGTGATTTTACCTGTACCTACCTGTGGACATTGGATTGTGAACGGATAATAAATATGATGAATATTATAAATCGGGTTACTCAACTGTTTGATAATCACAGCTATTATCAGGTGATAGAGGAGCTAACTAGATTTGCTAAACAATCAGCTACCTTGCTGGATCCTATTTTTGTGCATATCAGGAATTGAAATTCCATTGTACCAAAGGCTGCCAAACTGGTGACTTTTAGGGATTTTAGGAGTTTTAATGAAGAGCTTTTTCTTTCTGATTTAGGTTATACAATGGGATAACTTGTATTATTATTGTGATATAGAAGATAAAATCCACTATATAACTAACAATCTTAAAGACCTTATTTGAATTACATTCACCAGTTAGAGTTAGAACTGTAAGGGTAAATAAACCATCTGCTCCTTGGTTAACAGTGGCAATTAGACATTTTATGAGGGAGAGAGATAGGGCTAAAGTTAGGGCAAATAAAGAGTCAAAATAATCCACGCAAGCTATGGAAGACACTGCAAGATTTACAGGTATATTCTAATAATAAAACTGGTAATAATCTACATAAACTTTTAACAATGGTATCAATGATTATTTTTGCAGTTTTTTAGAAAACTGCGAACTGTCGTGATAAAATAGTTTATTATAATGTTACATAACAGGTATAGTGATGGTGTTGAGTTTTGTTTCAGTTTTGTAAGTCCAGCTGATGTATCTAAGTGTGTATGCAGCATTAAGTCTAATGCAGCATGCAGCAGGGGTTGATGGTCTGAACCCATATAATAAATTGTTGCATCGAAAGGGGATATTTTCCGTAATGCTGGAAAACTTCAATTGTCGCTCCAGTGCCCAAGACTAAAAATCCTGCTGAGGTTAGAGATTTGCGACCGGTTAGCCTTTTAGCCTTCTCCCTCTTATCCAAGATCTTGGAGAGTGGTGAGCTCGCAGATCCTGGATTATCTGAGGAAAAACAGTATCATCCTCAATGATCAATCTGGCTTTATAAAGGGTCATAGCACAACATCTGCATTACATTGTTCGGGAGCTTGATGAAAAGCAAACAGCCATGTTGGTACTTCTAGATTACTCAAGAGCATTCAATTTGATCGATCACGATAAATGTGTGCGAAGCTGTCTTTTTACGGGTTTGATGAATCTCACTGTCATTTTTTCGCTCGTATTTATCAAATAGATTGCAGATGGCACGGATCGAGGGCAATGTCTCGCAGCCTGGGCAGGTGATATCTGGGGTACCCCAAGGGGCTATATTGGGCCTCCTATTTGTAATTTATATTTCTGACATCTTCACCGTTGTTACAAATGCTCATTTGCAGTGCTATGCTGACGATACACAACTTTTGTTGAAATTTGATCCATCATGCCCTGATAGGGCTTCGCATATGTTAGGCCAGGATCTGCAGAGTGTTATTCTCTAAGGAACATAATTTAAAAATTAACCCTAAAAAACGGAACTTCTTTTATTCTGCTCAAACAATCAGAGGATTTCACTCACTGACCATTTTAAAAGTGATAATCGATGATAATACCTATACTTCAATTTTCTGACTGTGCCGGGATCTTATTGGGTCTGCCCTTGGACGTTGGATTGAAATTTGAAAAACATGTACACACTTTATTACAGAAGAGCTATGTTAAGATGAAGCTCTTGTACGCAAATAGATACATCCTTAATTTTAAGACGAGGAGAAAACTTAGTGAGAGCCTTGTCATGTCAATTAATAACTATTGTTATATTGTTTATTATCCATTCTTGGACAATATCATTAGGAAAAGAATACAGTTTGTACGTTTTCCTAAAAACTGCTTGATAGTGGGAAACCCGTATACTTGTTCACAAAGATTGAATTTAGGGAAAATGCACATTCATTGAATTTAAGAAATGCTGGTCTGTTGTCAATACCTAAGCATAAAAGCTCATTATTTCAAGAATGTTTTGTTCCATGTTCCATTGGGTTCCTAGTGTACAATATTAACATTATTATTTGTATTTTGTACACTGTATAATGTATGCATTCAATAAAGACGTTTATTATTATTATTATTATTATAAATAACCAGGCTAGAATAACATTAATGAGGCCATGCCAAAAAGTCAAAAATTTATCAGTGCCTCCTATTAAAAAGTTGCACAACAACCTTTTTGTCGATTGTAGGATTCCTTAGCTGAAAATGTGTTGAGAGTGCTGATTTAACAATCAATAAAAAGTTCTCCGTTTTCTTGGAGCAATTAAGAACGCCTTTTTTGTAGGCATTCCCTGAAAAAACCTATAAAGTAAAAGAAAACAGTCTACATAAAGTGGAGTGGTTCACTGAAATACTCCACATACCAAAACTTACACAATACTCCAAGCAATCGGGAATAACTTTTACAGGAAACAGTATCATCATGCAATAAAAATAGCAAAAAAAGAAGCTAATGACAATATGATATAAACTGCAAAAAATCCCACTAAATGCATGTGGAGTATCATAAACCACCAACGAGGCCGCTCAAATAAAGAAAACAGAGAACCAAAAATAGAACCAGATTATTACAATGAGTACTTTAGCACTATAGCAACTCAAATCGCTAATCAAATGGAAAAAAATGATCTTGATCCCCTTGAAAACTTAAAAAACATCAGTCTTCTAGACTACTTCTTCTCATTTATGGCTTCTCTGAAAAACACATCAAACACATAATAGTTATTTATATTATTAGTACGGTATGAGCCTTACCGTACGTGTGATATACAACATTTTATCTACGACCTGCACAATAAGTGACTATAATCGTTTGTCTAATATGAATAACCCATTTGGATTGTTCGAGAAAGGTTGGATTAAGGTCAAAAATAGGCAGCGATGAAGAAGAAAATGTGTATTTGCCTATCTTCAACGCCGTTTATTTTTGACCCAAATCCAACCTTTCTATAAAAAAAAAACAATCAAAATATGTACTGAGGTCAAACTAAAGTGAAAAAAATATAAATTACTATTGTGTACTCGATTGTGTAGGTATAAAAAAATGATGACCTCTTCCCGCACTAGTGCGGTAATAGGACTCATTACATAACGCAAATGAGCAAAAATTAGTGACATAATAGTCAGTTATTGTGCAGGTCGTAGATAAAAAATATCATCATTTCACCGTTTACAATGCTAATAAATCAATGTTTTCAACAGCGGGTTTTTCCGGAAGTCCTAAAAAGGGCTATAGTCACACCCATCTTTGAAAAGGGTGACGAGTTGAATGTATCTAATTATCGACCCATTTCACTTCTGCCAATTCTGTCGAACGTGATAGAAAAGTGCATGGCAAATCAAATATCAGAACACTCTGAACAAAATGGAATTTTTTCAAGCTGTCAGTTCAGTTTCAGGTCAAAGCGGAATACAACCATGGCCATTATGGACCTTGTGTCAACTAACATGGATGACTTTGAGGAGGGAACCTAAAACATAACACAGTTCTTTGACCTCAGCAAAGCCTTCGATCGTCTCCCACGACCTCCTGCTTAAAAAACTATTGCTATACAAAGGACCACGCATGAATCTTTTGAGAAAAAATAAATTTCACGATTGTCATGGAATTGAAATATGTTATTAAGTTCTCATAGGCCCAAAAAGATCCTATGATTAGTTTCGGATATACAGGACCGATAAAAAAAAGTAGTATAATCCGTTCACAATCTGATGTCCACAGGTATTGTTTGCCCAGCGGATCTGAGTCTACGGAAGGAATTCGGACATAAATGTGCCATGTTGCCACGTTTAATTATAAAAAAGCGAAAATACTAGGCAAGAAGTATAGTTCATTTAAAAATCCATTTTTTAATAACAAAATATTGATAACAATGATAAAACGCTAAATATTTTAATGTGGTTGTTAGATCTATTCTTATTTTAATCCTGATTTCTTCAATTCAGTCTATTGTAAAAAATAAACATTTTCTAAAGATACCATCAGCTTTTGCCTATTTGGCAAGCATCCGGCCTGGATGAGCCTGATTGGTGGAGTTTTTGGCAGGATCGCCGTTGCCATGGCGAACCATACGGTTGTCAATGAGCTAACGTCACCTTACGTCTCGCTATTGGCCAGGTCTGACGTCATTTTATCCTCCCATCTTGGAATATCGATTTATATTGAAATATCCAGTGGCGGAGGTTTGGTCATTGTCGATTTTTGTGTACGAGTTGCAATACGATAACAAGTTCCGCACGCAGCTGGGTATTTTATGAATGAAATCAGCCATTTTTTTTTACAACTGCATTCCCCTTACCGTTGCCCCGTAGACACAGAGTCGCTGGGCAGACATTAGGTACAGGTAAAATCACCTTTTAATACTATTTGATAGGGAAAGGTGATAAATTTACCTGCACCTGTGGACATCTGATTGTGAACAGGATATTACCTACAAGGAAAATCTCCAGATCTACTGGTACAATAATTTAATTCATAACCAAAAATGGCATATTTTTGGCATTTTTCGATAAGTTTTCAACCTTCAAAGTTTCAGATGACATTACTTTGACATTTTTCCACCCGCTTGTAACCTAGAATATGTCATTGCCTGAACTCAACATATTAGGCAATTCAAACCACGAGACATTCAAGATGGCGTGGCGGCCACACATGGGCCAAAAAACACAAAAAAATATCTAGTTTCTGCCGGAATTAATAGTTCACGTACCTAGTCAACAAATATTGTATTAAATAATGAAAATCAAAGTTTTAAGCTAAACTGTATGCAAAATAATTTAAAATACGCATAAAAACATATCCAAAACAAACTTGCTTGGCCGCCACGTCACATTGAATTTTCCGTTTTGACAGATGGATTGAATTGCCCAATTTTGAGATGTTTATTTTTTGTCAAAATTTTGTATGTTAACCTGGCCCTGTATCTCCGAAACTAATCATAGGATCTTTTTGGGCCTATGAGAACTTACGTTCAGGAGGTCGAGAAGCATAACATATTTCAATTTCATGACAATCGTGATTTTTATTTTTTTTTTCATAAGATCCTTGCGTGGCCTTTGATCAAAACAGCCTTGATCTGGTAAAATCCTATCTTGCAGACAGGCCACAGATAGTTAGAGTGGGGGGTGTGTCATCGGGGGAGCGGATCATGACTCTCGGGGTCCCACAAGGCTCAATCCTAGGCCCCATAATATTTCTGATCTTTGTTAATGAGCTGGCAATGTGAGACCCTGGGGCAAAGTTTGGTTACTACGCTGATGACACAATCCCCAAGAGCAGCAAAACAAATCTTGAATAGGCTGAGGAGGGAGCGATGGAGGCACAGTCGAGGGCTGAACTGTGGTTTGATTCCAATTAACTAGCATTAAAAGGCTTAAGTAGTATGCAAGAGGCTGAGAAGCGGCTCTGTCTCGCTTGACACCCTAAAAACAGCCTACTAAGCGCTTTTCCACTTCACCATGACCTACAGTATAAGAGTATGGGGTAAAGCTAGCTCTGCAAGGAGAGTTTTTGCACTACAAAGAAAAGCAATAAGAATACTGGCAGGTTTGGGGTATCGTGAGGAATGCGTAACAATTTTCTTCACAATGTATTAGAGCTTTGCTCTGATAGACATATTTTTTTTTCTGGCGTATGTAAAAATTATAATATTTCTTAACATGAATAAACTATCCATCAATCTATCTATCTTCTAAGAATTTTTTGAAAATGGTTTTGGTTTCTGAATCCACAGCCTCGATAATAGCTAGAAATACGTTGAAGCCTAGGTTTTGATTAAAAAAATAAAGCTAAAAGTCAACTCTTAAGGATTTTTTTACTTAGCAGTAAATTAAACAAAAATACCTATCTTACCTTTGTTACACTTTCTAAAACCTCCGTCTCACCGACTTCACTTTTTGAGGCGCTAGCTTCAATCAGTCTACTAGCATCAAATAGTTCACTCTTAGGCCTCGTTAAAGGTTTCGGTATTAAAAAACCTTCAGAAGAAGGTAAATTGGCTGATTTATCTGTTTCATCTAAACTCACAGATTTATTCACAATTGGTCGCGTTTTTGGAGGCGCTGCACCAGGTAATAGCGCCCCTACATTGATGTTGAGGTTGTGTTTGAGTTTTCCTGGCGATGCTACAATAATTTAAGCAATTAATTTGTTTATTCGAGTAATCAGTTCTTACTTTTAATTTTTGGTAATCCAGGATTATTATCATTTTCTCTTTGTTCGTTACCCTCACTGCCAAAATCAGCTACTTTTGCTGGCTTATCAATCGCATCTGTGGTATTCATATCGCTTGAAACTACAAATTAATACTTATATGAAAATATAATATAAATTAATATTATCTTTTTATCATTATTGATAAATTATTAATGAATAGAAAAGATAACGAATTATCAAAATTTACCTTTTTCAAATACAGAACTGCCTTCTAAATCCTCCAAATTTCCACTCGGAGTAAGATTTTCAATTTTACTTATCGATTCATCTGGGGTTTCTGCTATTTTTTGCAAATTTGACGTTTGAGCATTTTCAGTATGATTTTTGGTGACGAAAAAACTATCTTGGCTCTGTTGTTCATTGAAAATATCACTCGAGAGTCTTCTTGATGATGAAGCGTGAGGGTTGAATGAAGAATCATCAGCTTCTACTCTAAAAAATTAACAAAATACTCGAATCGTATGCTCAACGTTTTAAAATGCAAATTTGATCTATAGAAATATACTTATTATTTCAAAATTGTTCTCTAGTTGCGATTAATGCACCTAATATGAGTGACAGTACCCAAGTATCCCTAACTTCCTTTACAAATACAATGCAATGAAAATAGTTTTGAATTTGTGAGGGGGCTAGGGGCCGGTTTCTCAATAGCAAATTTCTGTCATGCAAGCCATCAGAGCCGTGACAATACTGAAGAAATAGTCTTTATTCTACAGATAATTATTCTTACCTCGTCACATTAAGATCTCGTGCAATTCCACTAGAATAGTTCAAATCGTGCACGTCCCATCTAGGCGGCGCTTCATCGAAAAGATTTGACGACGGTTGCGATTGGTTGTAACTAGTGCGGTCCAGAATGCCATCTGTCAATGAAAATGTGTCGCTTTCCCCACTGTTATCTGAAGAGGCGTCCCAATCTACTGGAGGAGGTGTGGGGTCAAAGAGGTCGATCAGTGGTGGGATGGAGAAGCTTTGAGGCACTGGAGGTGGTTCAGATGGTTCATGTTTTGTAATTTTTTCTTTTTCAGATTTTATAATTTGAGGCACAATTATATTTCCTTCCTCGGGTGATTTTTCATTGGCACCTTCGAGTCCAATTTCATTACTTTTTTTTTCCAAAGCAGGATGACTTTCTGATGAATTTTTTTCATGTTTGGAGTCTTGAACATTTGATTCTTCTGTTTGACTTGCTTCGTGATCTTTAGGCTCCAATTTTTCAACTCCTTCAAGGATCTTAGGAGTCACAAACATTCCATCATCACTAGTCAAATCCTCATGTAACAAACTAATAGGGTTGTTTTTTACATCAACTTCCTTGTTAGGAATTTCCTCTACAAATTGTTTTTCTTCTTTATCAACTAATGAGGTTTTACTCTGGTTTTCCTCAGAAACATCTTCATTAAATAATGTTTTAGTCTCGGTTTTAGTGTCCTTTTTTACATCAATTTTTTTATGGAGACTCCTATTTTCAATTTCTTTATCAAGTATTGAGGTTTCATTTTTAATTCCTTCCAAGATATCTTCATCAAATAAACTCGAATTATCTTTTTTCAAACCTATGTGTTTATCCTGGCTTTCCTTTTCCTTTTCTTCCTTATCAAATAATGATTTATGTTTTTTGCTTCCTTCCAAATTATCATCATCAAACAAACTTTTGGTGGATCTGCTTGTAGTTGTTTTTTCTAACTCATCAAATGAGATTCTTTTTTTAGGCACAAAAGCAAAAATATCTTCTTCTTCTTTTAGAAAATCGTCATCATCATCATCAAAAAGACTAACTTTCTTGGGTAGTTTTTTTGTTTCAGCCACTTTTGGCCTGTCATTATCAAAAATGCTAGTTGATTTTGTGACAGTTTCATTGACACCCTTACTAGTAACATCAACAGTGTCTTCCCCATCCTCATCATCAAAAAGACTAATTTTCTTTACTTCTTGAACTTTTTTAGTAACTTCTTTCTTTGTAGCTCTATCATCAGATTTGTTGTTTTTTGTAGAGTCATCAGAATCATCAAATAAGCTCAATTTTGTTTGTTTTTCTTTTGCAGCTATTTTGCCTTTTTCTATAAACATTTCATCCTCTGAAGACTCATCGAATAAACCAGTCTTTTTAATAGTTGCTGACAATTTGTCACCTTGTTGTTTTTGACTGATTGTGGATTTATTACTAAAAATATCAACATTTGTACCAAAAACTGACACACCTCCCACAGGTTTCTTTTTAGCCTCAATTTCAGGAGGTTGTTCATCCACAAAAGGTACTGCAGTAGCCTTAGAAGGTACCATATATCTACTACTATGAGTATTACTCAAAATTTTTCGTTTTTCTGTTACAGCAACCATATCATCTTCACTATCCGAGCTGTCAAATAGACCTTTGGGCATTTTTTTATTCAATAGAGTGCCTGGCAATTGGCTAGGCTTTTGGATATTTGAATTTGGCTTGTCTTGTGGCAATCCCCAAAACAAGTCGTCTTGATTATTTTCCGCGAATAAATCTCTGCTACCAGAAAACAGACCTTCGTGGGCCGATTTTGGTAGGATGGTGTCTTCCAAATCGTCTAGAGGTGGTGGTTCATCAGAGAATAAGTTACCTTTTAAATATTGATGTTCAAAATCAATTTAATTTTCAAAAAAATCTAAATTACTTACCTTGCTTGGCAGGTTTAGAACGAATTTGTTTACTAGCTTGACTATTATTGCCAGATGAATCATGTTTGGCACTAACAACATCACCTAGTTTTGCAGCTAATTGCTCAGCAAAGTTTGCATGTGATGTGGGAGTCTACAAATAATTTATTGACACACAATTTTTTTTTCTTCAAATTGTCCATCTATTACCTTGAATGGAACTGAGCTACTCTGATCCAAACTTTCTTCGGAAGAATGAAACACCTCCCGACTACGATCACTGGTATCGTTAAAAGTAGAATTGGCAACAGGCTCTGAGTTTTTAATGGCAAAGCTTAACTCTGAACTAGTTTCTGATCCAACAGGTCGATTTTTGGGTAAATTTTCTTCTGAATCGCTGCTGCTACTGTAGACTTCTTCTTCTTCTTTTTCAGATTCTGTATCGCTGTCTGAAGGTAATAGGCCTACATGGGATTTTTTGTACCAATCTTGGGTGCCTACTAAATAGGGCAAGGGTCGGTCTGCGTAGGGGTCTTTAGGGTGAAGAACATAACTGAAAATATAGTCATAAGTTCTAATTCGGATAGGTCGGTATGATACTTTGACATACTTTTTTTCATTGCCTTCTCCTTCACTATCACTCACAGCCACTTCTACCTTATCATAATATTTTTCCATCACTTTTAACCCATTTGAAATTGCTCTTTTGATGGAATTTTCTTTGTCTTCTTCTGTAAGCTCTTTTTCTATGATCTAATCGGAATTTCGTTTAGTGAATTATGATAGTTGGGTTCTTACAATAATTCATAGTTACAGGGGAAAACGCGAAAACCCATTCCATAAGGTCTTATGTTAAAGAAAGAAAATGTATACCATTACGCTGGGGGTGACTTCTAGATCACCCTATACTTACATCTCGACTTACATTTACTGGTTTAGCATAGAACACCCCCATTAAACGTTATTCTATGGTACAGAAATTATGTAATATGCAGATGCCATTGTGATGTATAAAAGTAGTACAAAAATTATTAAACCCAATTTGAGCTCCCAGTGTAACATACAAAATTTTAACAAAAAACATCTCAAAATCAGTTGGGCTTGGGCAATGACATATTAACAGAGATAGCCATCATAGACCAGGCGATTTCGGAAATTTTTGTTGTAGGTACTACTTTTTTCAAGACTTATTATCGCAAGGGTACATACTCCGATATACTTTTTCAATTTCTGACAATTTCCTAAAAATTTTTACCCTTGATAAAATATTGTATGCAACGCTGGGTAACATGTAGTATTTTACAGCACTTACTTATGTGATATGATCCTGCCATCACACAAGTTCTCTATGTCCCACTCTTACTCTTTACTATTTAATAAATAACTACATATTACCTTTTGTTCTTCCCCTTCCAAAGTCTCATCATCTTCATAAACCCGGTTTTCGATGAACTGTGTGTTTCTCAAACTTTGAAACTCATTTCTGGTCAATTCCAATTTAAGACCAACATTTTCAAGATTGTTCAATAGATTATCTACTTTGCTGTTTAGAGATTCTGTGTCTGATAATAATCCCTAGAAAATATTACATATAAAATGGTGTCTTCCAACTGTAATAGTTTACAGTTACCTACATTTCACTTTAGTAATAATTGTGAAATGATGAGCTGAAGCCTGAAAATAGCTATTTATGCAAAAAGTGTGTAAAAACATGAGTGGAAAAACGTGCTTTACACACCTGTTGCATACTATTTTTTTTCTACTAAAAAAATATAAAGCCATAAATTTGAAAAAGCATACCACAAGTGGGTACACTTACTTAAGAACCTAAAGTGTGAAGCAGAATCACATTTTTAACGCAAAAAAGTGCAGCAATAGTATATTGTGTATTTAGGTGGAAAAGTGACACAGAATGTGATTTTCCACCGAAATACACATACTATTTTTTCTGCGATCGGTTAAATACCTGTTAAATGTTTGTCTTTTAGTTCCAATTATTCAGCAGTACGAGAATCACTTTCCCGGCCTAGGCCGGAAAAGTGTTTGCCATATTGTTATTCATTGATTCCTTAGCAACTATTGAAACATAATAGACCTATCTATTTTTACCTGGCATGCGCGCAACACGAGGCAATGCCTTTCTATTGGCTAAATAGTACAGGTGAGAGGTGTTCATTTTATATGCTGGACATCTGCTTGTCCTTGTTCATTGCCCGTGGTCTAGAGGTCGAGAACTATCGATAGTCTATCGATAGTTATCGATAGTTTGGACTATCGAAAATTATCGATGGTATTTCTTGTAATATCGATAGTTTCGATAGTTGCATGTTATGAAACTTAGACAAGGAAAGAGAGAAGACGAATAACACGATATCGGAATGAAAACATAAAGAAAGAGACGAAATTTTTGTTGCTCCGGTTCCACCAATCGAAATCACCATACGGTCAGATGTCCAGTGTAAATTGGAAGTGGAACCCATCGATCATCGATCCAGAATAAAGGCGGCCAATATTAATATGCTAACATTTTTACATAAAAATGTGAATTTTTAATACAATTAGGTATAATCAAATAAGTATAAAATTTAAAAATAAAGTTTTTTACAGTGAAAGAATTTATCTTCATGTCTATTTCAGCATTTTGAAACTATCGAAAACTATCGATAATTATCGATGGTTTCTTGCCGACTATCGATAAATATCGATGGCGCCTACTATCGATAGTTCTCGACCTCTACCGTGGTCTGACAAGAATGAAAGTACGGTTGATATTCAACTTGACATAACTTGAAAAGTGACATGCAAAAATTGTTTGACATTTTCATTGACAAATATGTTGCACAACATGCAGTCTTTCTCCTTCCCTTTTTATCCCGTGCAAATAAGAAGAAAGGATTGCTATACGTAAGTCTAACATAATTTGGTACGTATTGCCTCGTCTTGCGCAATGAGCGTTCTGTGTCTTTTTTCATCTAATGAAGTTTTCGTATTATTGCCTCTTTGTCTGGTAAAATTGAAATACCAGAATATTGAGTTTTGCGACCTGTCAACCAGTCAAAAATGCTGACATTTCTTGTCAATCGCAGAAAAAGGCTTTTATAATATCAAATTCTGCACTTGTGAGTATTTAAGCATTTTTGTGAAGAAAATATTGAAAATGAAATAAGTACTTTACGCATGATAGTAGCAAAAATGTAATTGTAAGCTAGAACTAGATTGGAAATTGGGATATGGGGGAGTATCTATACTTTTAGAAAACTATGATAAGAGCTGTGTAATTACTTAACATATTTTTACCTGTGAAAAGTTCTTCAAACTATTCAAAAGGGCAATATCCCCAGAAAGGGACCAGTTGCTAGCGTTTTCTATCATTTGGTCGCTAGACCATTCTATGTTGTCTTGTGCCATTGCAACTGATCTGGAGCTGTTCTGTTACATACTAAAATAACCGAGAAAATAACTGAATTGTTTCTAATTATATGCACTATCACTTACGGTAAATTATTAATAAGTAATTAACTGTAGTGTAGAACTGTACCTTGGATCTATATTACGTTTTGTTCACTTTTGTTTACATTTTTTAAAAACATAAAAACTCAGATATCACTGATCAGCTGATAAATTACGAGTGTGTTCCGTTATGAACAATTGTATTCCTTTTACACCTATGAGGAACTCCGAAACTGCTCCGGGGTGTTACGCGCTTATTCCTTCAGGCGGTTACACACGGACGTGGATGGCTTGATACAATCATATACGTGCATACATCAACGTGCAAACAACAACGTGCATGTCACTTTTGTACAGACGCTCGCACAAAACCAGTGTTGTCGAAGGATAGGCTATCCTGTAGTAGTACTGTGTATTATAGGTTTTTTCCAAGAATTTTTTCATTTAGCATGACGTCATAGAACAAAAAGAGACAATGTTGTCAATGCCTATTTTTTTTCTTATAATTTATCAGAATGTCACGTGACAGTAGACCTATTTATTTTACCAACCAAAGAGGTAATAATACGAAAACTTCATTAGATAAAAAAAGACACAGAACGCTCATTGCGCAAGACGAGGCAAAATATACCAAATTTTGTTAAACTTACGTATGGCAATCCATCCTCCTTATTTGCACGGGATAAAAAAAAAAGAAGAAAAACTGCGTGTTTTGCAACGTATTTATCAATGAAAATTTCAAACTACTTTCGAGTGTCACGTGTCAAGCTATGTCAAGTTGAATATCAACCGTATTTTTATTTTTGTCAGACCACGAGCAATGAACAAGGACAAAGGACAAGGAGATGTCCAGCGTGCAAAACGAAGACTTCACACCTGGTACTAGTTAGCTAATAAAAAGACTTGCCTCATGTTGCGCGCGCATACCAGGTAAAAATAGATAGGTCTTTTCTGTCAAACGAAACGGAAAATAGGTAATTTACTTACATGCCTCACAGCAGAAGAAGCAAAAATGGTCGCGTTCCTGCTGGAAATACGTTATTAATGCCTGTATGCACCATTTTCAGGTATTTTCGTAATTAGCTAATCAGGGCTTATTATGTAATCACGGTTAAAAAAGTCGATTCGATGTACCAAAGGATTTTGCATTTGCCTGGTATGCACCATTACACAAATTCTCTGATTAAACTTTAGCCGTGATCACATAATATTTTTCGTATGCACCAAGCGTTTTTTTCGCCTAATCGGCAATTAACTTAAATCGCTCGATGGCCTGGAATTTAGGATAACCGCGGCTATAATGAAATGAGGTTAGAATGTTTTGTTTTGTTTTTACATTTTAAAAACATTTTTGTCCCCAGAAAATTACTGGAAAAATAGTGTGTGGCGAGGGTGAGCAGGGAGAAATCAAATAAGGAATATGGAGATGGACCACCTATTATTTGACGAGGATTTGGATACTGATAAATAATGATTGTGTTAGATGGGCTTCCAACGCGTTGGAATGAGACGGAAAATTATTTTGAAGCCTTGGATGGATGATCTTATAAACCAATAGTCGTAGATCTTCCTGAAGAGGTGGAAGATGCCCTAACTTGACTTATGATAGGGTGGTAGTATTATATGCAATTTTATTGCTTGATTCCAGTAACTAATGACTATGTAATTACGGTAATTACTGTTTATTTCAAATAAAATGCCCAGGATGCTTTGTTTGTTTGTGTATACTGTCTACCTAAAATTTATTCATCGAAAAAAACGCAGATATGGGGTCTCGCCAACCCAAAATTGGCTATTATCAGGGCCAAATACTGGAACTGATCTTCACAGTGGGAACTGATCCACTGCAAAATAAACAGGTCCGGTTCGAGTTCAAGTCCGGACCACTTTTGCGTTGTCTACGTTGTACGGACTCGGAGTCAAACTCGAACTAATCGGATCACGCCGCGCCGGCCAGTGGAACAGGAAAAAGTGTGGACTCGGAGTAGGGACACAGATTCAGAGACGGAGTACATTACACCGACAGACTCGTTTCGATCAACGGCTCCGGATTGTCGGGATCACGCCGCACCGGTGCGGCCGCTGGAACGGATAGAGTACGAGAGTGAACCGCCGATAGGATATAAAACTGCTTTCCAGTATGTAGCTGTATTCCTTTCAAGAGTTTGAAACACTAGAGCTACTCGCTCCGGTGTGTCAACCCGATTTGAAAGGAACAGATTCGCCGACTTTCGTGCATTTATGGTTTACTTTGGGCTTGAGTACTCAGGTGCAACAAACACACAGCGATTGAGTTGCGGGGTGAAACAAGAACAATTGCCTTAGATATATCTAAAGCATTCGACAAAGTTTGGCATGAAAATCTGCTCAACAAGCTCAAAGCAATGGGATTATCGCCGAAACTTTGCACTTGGTTTGAAAGTTACCTAAAGGACAGATCCATTTATGTTGCACTGGATGGCCAGAACTCCAACTCTTACCAAATAAATGCTGGTGTGCCACAGGGAGCAATCCTTTCGCCAACTCTTTTTCTGATTTACATAAATGACCTCATAGATAAAACAGTAAATCCACTTTATTGCTTTGCAGACGATGGCAATGTAGTCTCCTCACTCATACCACCCACAGGTCTTTCCGCACGTGAATTCCATCATCTTAGACTAACTCAAATATCGCAGATAAATAACGACCTGGAGATAATAGAGGACTGGGGTAACAAAAACCTTGTACAGTTCAACGCACAGAAAACCCAAGCAGCTCTGTTTTCAAAAAAGAACAGCACCGGTGAGCCAAACATCATGCTATCTGGAAGTGCTGTCACATTACAGTCAGTTGAACATCTTGGGGGTTACTGCAGAGACCAACATGTCTTGGCACAAGCACGTGGCAGATATTGCTAAAAGGGCGTCCCAAAAGCTGGGGGTGCTATTTCGTACAAGACATCTGTACACACCAAGCCAATTGCTGACACTCTACAAAGCCCAGATTCGACCAACTATGGAGTACTGCTCACATATATGGAGTGCAGCACCCAAACATACCTTAATGCTTTTGAATACCGTGCAAAAACGAGCTATCAAGCTGATCAATGACCCCGCACTTACTCGTAACTTGGATGGTCTCGAACATCGCAGATCTGTGGGCGATTTATCTCTCTTCTACAGGTACTATCACGGAAAATGCTCTGAAGAGTTGGCACGTATGATTCCACCGAGAGTAGCGCCTACCAGGCGAACCCGTCAAACAGACGGTAACCATGAATTTACTGTCAAACTAGAGGCACCAAGAACCTCATTATATCAGAATTCATATCTCTGGAGAACAGCATCGCTGTGGAATAAACTCCCTGCGACGGTTTTCCCTGCAGGTTACAACCTGAACCGTTTCAAGACCAACATACACCGACATTTCCGCGCACTTGCCGCTTCTTGAGCGTGATAGGACATTTCCTTGCGAGTGCGCATATCCGTAAAAAAAAAAAAAAAAAAAAAAAAAACTTTTCGGAAGGAATAAGCGCGTAACGCCCCGGAGCCTCTATGCCCGGAGCTGTTCCGGAGCTCCTCATACTATTCACCATTTTCACGTATTTTCGTTATTAGCTAATCACGGATAATTATGTAATCACGGTAAAAATGTCGGTTCGATGCACCAAAGGATTTTGCACTCAAATTAGTTAATTGTGATTTTGTAATGAGGGCCACCTGAAAGGAACTCACCGATAACGTCGCAAATTTCCTATCGATTTTAATAAAAAGCAATAAAAGCCCATTTTGGGTTGGCGGTATGTGGGGTTGGCGAGACACATTCTTCGTTTTTGTCGATGAATTTTAATTTTATAAACAAACAAACAAGACATCCAGGGCATGTAGGGCATTTTATTTGAAATAAACAGTAATTACATAGTCATTACCTAGTTATTGGAATCAAGAATCAAGTCATAAATTTGCATAGAATGTAGGTACTACACCCTATAATAATGATAGGGCATCTTCTACCTCTTCAAGAAGATCTAATCGACATCTAGAAAAGAAGTTTCAAGAAAATTCCAGAACATTCTATTCTAGAATAAAGCAAGTTATCCAATTTGTGACTTCACCGGCGTGTTTGGAACTTCGAGCAAAGACCAGAAAAGATATTTGAAGAAAGTTCGAGGGAAATTCTAGAACATTCTGTATATGCCTATCACAAGACAACAAGCCAAAATGGACGAACAAAAAGTTGAAGAACTTCTGCGCAAAATGTTGGAACTTCAAGAGACCAAACGACAACAAGAAATACAAGACGAAGAAGCTAGACGACTACAAGAAAAACAAGACGAAGAAGCCAGACGACAACAAGAAAAACAAGACGAAGAAGCTAGAAGACAACAAGAAAAACAGGACGAAGAAACCAGACGACTACAAGAAAAACAAGACGAAGAAGCCAGACGACTACAAGAAAAACAAGACGAAGAAGCTAGACGACAACAAGAAGAGGCTAGAAGACAACAAGAAAAACAAGACGAAGAAGCCAGACGACAACAAGAAAAACAAGAAGAAGAAGCTAGGCGACAACAAGAAGAAGCTAGGCGACAACAAGAAGAAGCTAAGCGACAACAAGAACGGCAGGAGGACCTTGGAAGACTACAGAAAATATTCCAAACCATACAAGGAACTGTCGCTAACCTAGACCAGAAGATTGAACAAGTTAAAGACGATGTGCAAGAAGTTAAACACGACGTTCAAGAAGTAAAAGCTGAAGTCAAAACCGATGTTCAGCAATTAAGACAAGAAGTTGAGGACCAAGTTCAAGCACTCGAAGAAAAGATGCGTAGATTAGAAATACAGTCCATCAATTCAGCTAGTGTTGGAGCATTCTCCAGTATGAAGATAAAACCACCAACTTTCGTCGGCTCTACGTCCTGGACCATGTATATTCGACAATTTGAAGCTGCTGCAAATACCAACGGATGGAACGATCAAGAAAAAGCTACAGCACTGATAGTGGCGCTACGAGGACCAGCCTTAGATCTTCTTCAGTCCATTCCTTCAATCTACCAACAGAATTGCCAGCATCTTAGTCAAACTTTAGAACTGCGCTTCGGAGACCATTACAGACAAGACGTATTCAGAACTCAAGTTAAATCAAGAGTTCAAAAACCCGACGAGAGTCTACAAGAATTCGAATCGGAAGTTAAAAGGCTAGTGAGTTTGGCGTTTCCTGCAGCTGGGGAAGACATGCAGGAATGGATGGCAGTATCTGCGTTTATTGATGGTCTCAGAGATTCGAAGATCCAGGAAAACCTAAGAATGTCCAAGTTCAGACAAAGTAGCGAAGCCCTTGTCCGAGCATTAGAACTGGAAGCAATCTTTGGTGCCTCACGACCCAGAATACGAGCAGTGTCCATTGAAGACCCAAAAGATAAACAGTTGTCAAAAGAGGATGGTAGCTTCGAAACAAAATGAGTAATTTCATGGAGAGAATGGAGAAACTGTTACTAGAAGATAGAAAAATGGGAAACGATTCCAGACAAACACCAACCCCGAGAAACCGAATAGAGTGCTACCGGTGCCATAAACTTGGGCATATTCAACGAGATTGTAGAGTGAGGATGTCCTCTCCATCAAGGGATCGTTTCCAACGCTTTTCAGATCGAGAGACGCCAGCCCTAATAACAGACAGGGAAACGAGAACTAACCAGTATGGAGGGCGAATGCTGGTTAGTAATGACGAAGCCCCCAGGGTTGTTTACATAAAATCATTGGGCAGTCATTATAGAGGATTAAAATTCGAAGGACAAATGAATGGAGAATTGAAAACCATTACTTTTGATACGGGTGCTGAAGTTTCCATAATTAAAAGAACATTAGTCAAGTCTCGGGCAATCCAACCGCTCACTAGAAACCTGTCACTACGAACAGTCACCGGCGAATCTGCAGCAGTTCAAGGAGAAGCTATGGTTGAGCTCACTTTTGGATCTACCACCTTCAGGCACAAAACATTAGTCGCCGATATAGAAGATGATTTTATTTTGGGAATGGATTTGATCGGCCAACATGGTTTCTCTTTTGA